AACAAGGAAGCTACACCAAAACCAGGAAGACACACTCTTCTTCAGGTGTCTTATAGTGTCCCACTAGTGCCCCCTATTGACAAATCCTAACACTGTGCCAGTTGGCAAGGGAGAAAGTTTACAGGATTCAGATCTAGAATAACAAAGACAAGGAAGGGTAGATGAGGCATACTATAAAACAGTATTTTTTTAAAAAGAATAATCTCATTATAACTGCTACATAGCATTATCTTGAATTTTTGTCTATTGATACTATATTTGACAACTTTTATATAGAATTTTCTCATTATTATCGGTACATAGAATTGCCATGAATTTTTGCCTATTGGTATACTTGGAAACTTTGATAAGCTCCCTTATTAATTCTAATTTCTCTGTATATTCTTCTGGTTTTCTATGTTGACTATTATATTACTTGTGAATAATGACCCTTTGTTTTCTTCTTTAGAATCCTTAGTTTGGTTTTTTGTTTTTGTTTTGTTTGTTTGTTTTGCTTTTTCTTGTCTAATTGAGCTAGTTAGGACTTACAGGACAATGTTAAGCATAATTGGTGATAGTTGCATTCTTACCATACTTCTGAATTTGAAGGGAATGATTTTAATGTTTCACCACTGAATATTATATTTATCATAGTTTTCTTTTTGTATAGATATACTTTATAGGTTTTAGAAAATTCCTCTGTATTCCAAAATCTAGGAAATTCTCATCAATGGAGTCATTCTTTTAAAGGCATACTTTGAAGAAGAACTTTACTGAAATTATAGGAAGCCTTTATTTAATTTTAGTTTCCCTAAACTTATTAGTGTTTATTAGAAGCGGAGTATAGCTAATGTTATTAATATTTCACATTTAACACCTTATAGTTTATGAATAACCTTCATTTTGCTGCTTATTTGAATCACATAACAACCAGTTGAGGCAGGAGGAGAAGGTGTAACGGAAATTGCTACTTGCTTTCTAAAATCCTCTCTCCCTTTCTTCCTTTTTCTTTAGCTGGGGTACACGGCCACTCGAAATAGAGGTGGCTATCTTACTTTGTTCTGACCAATAAGATGGAAGTTGAAGTGTCATGTAGCACTTCCATGGGAATCTTTTTAAAGAGATAGTTGACTTTGAAGAAAGCGTCCACAACCTAGAGACCGACTGGAAAGCCAGGGCTTTGGGTGAGCGTATAACCTCTGCCTCTAGATTTCTTCCAGCCTCCTCCTACCTACAGGTCCTGGGCCTGAGATGTGGCCACCAGTCCAGCTGCAGACTGGCTGCCCCCTCAGCCCATGTCCTTCTATCCTACCCATTTCTCCTGCCTAATGGGGTTTTGTGCAATACGGAGTTTTTCCATAAACTGATGCTTGTATTGGTAGAGACTTTAGGAGATTCTTGTGAGAAACCAAGGACCTCCCTTCAGCCCTGAACAGGGTTTTCCCTTGATTCCAACCCAAAGAATTATGTACCTTTCTAGTTGACTCAAATTTGTGGATGACTTCTCCCCCTTTCCTATTCTACATTCTTTTTTTTTAAAGATTTTATTTATTTATTTGAGAGAGAGAGAATGAGAGAGAGAGAGCACATGAGAAGGGGGAGGGTCAGAGGGCGAAGCAGACTCCCTGCCGAGCAGGGAGACTGATGCGGGACTCAATCCAAGGACTCCAGGATTATGACCTGAGCCGAAGGCAGTCGCTTAACCAAATGAGCCACTCAGGCAACCCCCTATTCTACATTCTTAGTCCTATGTTAGCTTTACATCTCAGAAATGGTGAGATGTACATCAGTCCAATAAAATATGAAATAACCATGAAAAACATAAAAAAATAAGGAGATAGTTGATGTGCACCCTTTGCCTCTTTCCTTCACCTTGCTGCTTGGAACATAGATAATACCATCTTGGACCATGAGAATGAAGGCTGCCCCTTCATGATGTGAGAGGAATGAGCTGGAAGGAACTGGATTTCTGAGGACTCTGTTGGAGCAGAGCCACTGTGCCAAATCATTAATGTACTTTTATATGAGAGAGAGAAATCAGTTTTGTATCTTGTTCAAGCTACTTTTACTTGTGCTTTCTTCTTCTTCTTTTTTTTTTTTTAAAGATTATTTGACAGAGAAAGAGAGCACAAGCAAGAGGAGAGGGAGAAGCAGGCTTCCCGCTGAGTAGGGAGCCGGGTGCAGGGCTCGATCCCAGGGCCCTGAGATCATGACCTGAGCTGAAGGCAAACACTTAACTGACTGAGCTACCCAGGCGCCCCTTACTTGTGCTTTTCATATTTGCTTCTTTTATTCAAGAAAGAGAAGAAATACAAATGTATGTATATATATTTGCTAATGTTATATATATGGTAGGATAAACCATTACATTTAAAAAAAAATCTAGTTACCAATAAGGAGCTGGAGGGAATAGGGTGGATGGAAGAGAAATAAAATCTAGGCTTATGATATTTAGGCTTAATATATTTTTCTGTGTAGATTTACCCCCTGGAACCACGTAAATATTTGATATACTTGTAAACATAAATTAAAATATCAATCTCTAATATAAAAACAAAGGAAAAAATTGAGTGTTAAGTATTGAGTTAGTGGTCTAACCAACAAGGAAGGACTATTTCAGATGAGTTTGTAATACAGCAATGTGTCTGTGGATCCCTAGTGTAATGTATCCTAGTAACAAAAAGAATTGTAAAAATATTTTAAAATGTATTCAATAATCATACTATTATTGGCCGTGTTGGTATTGCTATGGGATAAACTTAATGGGTTATTTATGTTGGTGTTGCTTAGAATAAGGATTTTTTTTCATAAGGGAAAGACGATATAAATTAAAGTTGATGAAGTTGAATAAATACCATATAGTTCTAATTTGAACTCGAGTTAAAGGTATGAATTCATTGTGTGTTTTACCTTAAAAAGAAGTGTTATCTAGTTCTGAAACAAAGGCCAGCCCAGTAGTATTGAATGCCCACAGTGTCAAAAGTCTTCTAATATCCCTATAAAAGTTACCAAGGCTTCTTGATAAAAATGGCTGATTCCAAATCCTGGGCAGAAACTGTACAAAATGAGACTGTCCTATTCTTACTGTAAAAAGTAAGATAACACTATTCATGAAAAAATTTAAAAAAAAAAGCATGAACCAACCCGTAGATGGTACAGTCTCTCAACAAGGATAATATTTGTAATGTATTCAAGCACATCAAATATGTTTACACCACAGGCTAATAATGATGCCAAAAGACAACACAAAACAAAACTCTTTTTTTTTTAAGATTTTATTTATTTATTCATGAGAGACAAAGAGAGAGGCAGAGGCAGAGGGAGAAGTAGGCTCCCCGCGGAGCAGGGAGCCCGATGCAGGGCTCGACCCCAGGACCCCGGGATCATGACCTGAGCCGAAGGCAGACGCTTAACCGACTGAGCCACCCAGGCGTCCCCAAAATAAAACTCTTAATGGTCACCTTAGGAAGTTGTTGGTGAAACAACTTTTTATTTTGAAGGAAGAAAATAAAGGGAAAGAAGCATTTTCTTGCTTTTCCTGTATGAAATATTCCTTAAGGTCACTACAGAGCTAATGAAGGGAAACTTTTCTTTATGAAAGTACTTCTGCTAATGATCATGGAGGGAATGATAAGATTACATACCACCATTTTGCAACCCCAAGTGAATTAACGGGTCTAAGCAATGGGTGTTAGTAACTAGCATCACAAAAAGAGACAACCAGGAGTGCCTGGGTGGCTCAGATCGTTAAGCATCTGCCTTCGGCTCAGGTCATGATCCCGGGGTCCTGGGGTCGAGCCCTGCATCGGGCTCCTGCTCGGCGGGGAGACTGCTTCTTCCTCTGCCTCTTCCTCTGTGATCTCTCTAGCTCTCACTCTCTCTCAAATAAATACATAAAATCTTAAAAAACAAAAACAAACAAACCAGACATCCAAACATTATATATGCATCACTCCCTATGAAGCATCCTTGCAAAAAATTGAAGCTGGGGCCAAATAAAATGGTTTAACTAATTTCTGATGAAGAGAAAATACAAAGGACAGAGAGACGTGGTAGAAGATATTATAGGAATGAAATCAGCAAAATACAGACTATGGGAAAATCTACCAAAAAACAACCTGGTTCTTCAAATAAAGAATGAAAAGAAGAGATTGATGGAGGAAGAACCGGTAAATTAGGAGTGGCTAAAAAATTATGTTCACTAATCACAAGATATAGATTTTGTTTGGATCCTGTTTAAAGATTTTATTTATTTATTTATTTATTTATTTATTTATTTGAGAGAGAAAGCATGTGCAAGTGGAGGGAGGGGCAGAGGAGGAGGGAGAGAGAGAAGGAAAGAATCCAAAGCAGACCATGAACCAGCGGGGAACCCAGTAGGCGCTCTATGTCACAACTCTGAGATCATGACCAAAGCCAAACCAGGAGTCCCCACTTAACTGACTGAGCCACCCAGGAGCCCCTGGATCCTGTTTAAAACATTAGTGAAATAATCAGGAAAATTTTAACTATGACTGGGTATCTGCCAGTATTGAGGAATTGGGGTTAATATTTTTAGATGTGATAATGATATTGTGGTTTAGCTTTTTAAGAGTCCTTAGATACATCCTGTAATATTTATGGTTGAAATAACATGATGTGTGGAATTTGCTTCAAAGCCAACCAGAGGGTGTGGAAGAAGGGAGCTCACATAGAGATGAAGCAAGATGGCTAATTAATGAAACTGGGTGATTTTCTTCTATTAAACTAGATTCCATTTTCGTATATGCTTGACATGTTCTTTAAAAATATATAAAAACAACTCTTTTTCACCGCCATCCTGCTCTGCGTGGCTGACTGCTTCTCGCCATGTCTTCTCTCAAGACTTTCAGAATCAAGCGATTCCTGGCCAAGAAACAAAAGCAGAATCGTTCCATTCTCCAGTGGGTTCGGATGAAAACTGGTATTAAGATCAGGTACAACTCCAAGAGGAGGCACTGGAGAAGAACCAAGCTGGGTCTATAATGTGTCACACATCATGAGATGACACACTTAATTGGCATACATATTTAATTAAGCTGCGTGAAGATCATGTGTTCTATCATTCTGTAAACATCCTTCCTACCTGGCCATTGACTTGTCTTATCATGGAAATGATTTTTCTCTGTGACTGTGCCTCTGCACCAGTAGGTTGGTTCAGTAATAAATGTGAGACCTTTCGGCTCTTAAAAAAAAAAAAAGTATAAAAACAAATACCAATAACTGATCCTACTCAAGATTCCAATTTCAATGGTCTGGGTGGCAGTAGATTGGTGACAAGATAAAATAATGAAATCTTTAATCTACGTTAAACAGGAAACCAGGAGCTGCCTGGTTTCACGTAGGCAAAGTAGACTGGAAAGTAGCTTTGTGATATAACAGGAAGGCCCTAGTGGGAGGTCAGGGGAGTTGGTTTCTACACCTGGTTTTATCACTAGCCAGTTGGTGAAACTAGACAAGTCTCTTCACTTCAATGGACCAAGGTTTCTACGTCTGTCAAAGGTGAGTTTAAGTTATTGAATTTCTAACATTCTTTCCAGCTTTGGTGGGGTAGGAGAGGACTGGTGCCGTTGAGTATGTGATACGCCCAGTCTCATATATTTCTTGCATTTTCTTAACTATTTGTTTTTCCAACCATACAATCCTTTTGGCCTTTGGAATAAATGTACTTGTTCCTCACTGGAACCTAATTGAACTCCCTATGCTCTTAGATGGTTTGCACCCAACTGTTCACCCCTACCACCCCCTGCCGTGGGGCTCCCCAGTGCCGGCCTCTTCTTCCCCTGCATTTCACAAGTCCTAGCACAGTCAAGGAAGGCTGTTAGAAATGGGGGCAAAAAGTTAAATAGTAATCAACTGTGGTTTTTGTCCTTGAGAATTTGTGATTTTTAAGTGAGAGTTACACAAGTGTAAATGCCATACGGGGAGCTGAAGGTGGTAAATGTATAACACACGGACATTTGGATCAGTGGGGACATATCCAAGGTTCGTCAACAGAGAAATGTCAAGATCATGTCTGTATATTTGAAATTTTTACAGTGGTGTCAAGTGATACAAGTTTAGAGAGGCAGCCTGGTGTGGTGGTAAAGAAAAAAAAACCCCAAATGCTAAGCTATTTTCATGCTTGAGGGGCGCCTGGGTGGCTCAGTCAGTTAAGCATCTGCCCCCGGCTCAGGTCATGATCCCAGGGTCTTGGGATCGAGTCCCACACAGGAAGTCTGCTTCTCCCTCTCCCCTTGCCCCTGCCCCCTGTTTGTGCTTTCTCCCACGCTCTCTCTCTCAAATAAATAAATAAAATCTTTAAAAAAATAAACTACTTTTGTGATTGAAATTCAGCTCTGCTGCGATGAGCTGGTGACTGGGGCAGTTACTCAGCCTCTCTCTGCTCCAGACCCCTCATCTGTAAAGTGGAGATTATTTTATTTATTTATTTATTTATTTATTTATAAAGTTTTATTTATTTATTTGACAGAGACACAGCGAGAGAGGGAACACAAGCAGGGGGAGCGGGAGAGGGAGAAGTAGGCTCCCCGCTGAGCAGGGAGCCTGATGCGGGGCTTGATCCCAGGACCCTGGGGTCATGACCTGAGCCGAAGGCAGACACTTAATGACTGAGCCACCCAGGCACCCTAAAGTGGAGATTATTACCCTACCTTTTTCAAGAGAGACGTTTTCAGGATCAACTGAGCTAATAAATGTAAAGCCATTTACAGTGCAGATCAGGTCAAACACTGTATAGTGCTGGATATGAAGGTAAGCACTGTACTTTATACAATATATACTAATTTACTCCGATTATTCACCTGCTGAATGGCAGAAAAATACTTTAAAGAGTGTTGATTTTGAAGAGACTCACATTCCTGAAGATGATAATCAGGTTGTGGTAATTCTGCTACACAGGACACAAAATTAAAGAAGGGGGCATAAACTATACCTCCCTCACTTATGAAGAAGTGTAAAACAGGGAGACTGTGCACAGCAAATCTTTCTGAGGGGAAAAATATGAAACAAATGTAGACAATTATAAAAATGTGTCTAGAGGGAATTCACATTAGCTTGAAAATTATGGTGAGTAATTTAATTTGACATATTTTAATCAAATGTCCCGAATTAGAAGTCGCAGCTAAATATGCTCTTGAAGAAAGCTTGTCAGCTGCGAACCCTCAGAAATATATTATAATACAGAAACATTCATTTTTCTTTATTTTAAAAACAGATGTCTTGAGGTTTTGAAATTTTTATTTGTGCCCCTATATCACTTGAGAATATTAAAATCACCCCTTCCTTACATGAATGGAAATCTGTTTCACTAGAAAAATCATGGTTTCACTGGTTTATGTTTGGAAGGGTATTCTCAGATGGCCAGATCTTGAAAACATGAGCCACATCTTCTTTTAAGAGGTTTTGAGATGGAGAGAAGACCTATTTCTGGGTGGGGGGGATGGAAGTCTTGAGGTCACAGAGGAAGCCTTTTAGAGGAAAGCAAATGTTCTTTGGCTCTTATGGGATGACTGAAGCCTTAACTATATTACATAAATCAGTGGCTGGGTTGGTGGTGGTGGTGAAAACTGTTAGTGTCTTTGGTCTTAGACTTAGAGGTTGCTTTCCTTTTAGGGCAACATCTCAGTGATGTATTTAACTAACTTCTTAAAGGATGATGATAAAAAAAACATGCAGCCCCCTGTTCGTGGAGGTAAAGTGAACGTAAAGGAAAAGGCCATTTCTCTGGCCCATACTTGGTTGCTTTACTGACCCATTCTTGAAACCGTATGCTTCTTTTCCCTCTTCTCTTCTTTCTCTTCTCTTTCTCTCTATTTTTCTTTCACGAAGCATAGGGAATATAAAGTCAGGATTTTATTGACTATTTGGAATGGAGACTTTGATCACCAAGGGTTTTCTTATTCATATATGGTTTCTTAGTTTAAAGATTGGAATTTTAATGGCTTGTTTTGTGAAAATTCAGGATCCCTCCCCTCACTCCCTCTCTGATCTGTAGAGTCATCCAGCAGAATTTGGCGCATCTTATACTTTATTACTGAGGAGGAAGATGATTTAAAGATTACACATGAACTTGTACCCTGTGATGTCTTTTGCCAAACAGCGAGAACCCTGCAGGAGCCCATAGAACGTGGTGTGATTGAGGGGTGCAAGGGAAGTGCCTGGGTCACGGAGGAGGTTCATTCCTTTGATAGAATTCCCCATTAAAATGCGTACACTGCACAAGGAATGAATAGAATTACTGACTGGCCCTGTATTTGGGATCAGTGTGCAACAAATTAGTTATGCACACATAACTAATGTGGAGGGGATGTGGAGGAGGAAGACGTTAAAAATGTAAGTGGAATGTCATAGTTTAGTCAAGAGCCCGACTGATTTTCTATGTGTATTCTTTTCTACTTCTTGTGTGCCTCCTTTTTACCTTCTCCATGTGGATGGCAACCCACTTATTGTTCGATCCATCACACATATTGACCCACCTGAGCCTTTCAATGTGAATCAGGGTTGGGCTGCTTCTGTTCATTCATCTGGTGTCCACATCCTCCTCTGGCTGGGATTGTGCAGTCCACGCTAATGACACCTGAGCACATCCCCGTCTTCTAGGAATTAATCAGTTCCTCTGATTTCTTCTTTTTCTTTAAATTTGTTTATTTATTTGAGAGAGAGAGAGAGAGCAAGTGTGCACAGAGGCAGTGGGAGAGGGAGAGGGAAACTTTAGCAGACTCCACGCTGAGCACAGAGCATGACACGGGGCTCGATCCCATGGACCCCAAGATTATGACTTGAGCCAAAATCAAGAGTCAGATGCTTAACTGATTGCACCACCCAGGGGCCCCCTTCTGATTTCTTCTTAAGCCATTTGGGCTCCCTGACCCAGAAACCTGGAAGATAGATTAACATGGCACAGAGACGCTCAATAATGATGATGATGGGAGCGCCTGGGTGACTCAGTTATTAAGCGTCTGCCTTAGGCTCAGGTCATGATCCCAGGGTCCTGGGATCGAGCCCCCACATCAGGCTCCCTGCTCAGTGGGGAGTCTGCTTCTCTCTCCCCCACTTCCCCTGCTTGTATTCCTCTCTCATTGTCTCTCTCTTTCTCTGTCAAATAAATAAAATCTTTAAAAAAATGATGATAATTAACTGATTGCTAATGAGGACTTTGTGTCAGGTATTCTATGAAGTGATTTAGATGTACCAATGTTTAGATCTCACTATTGGTCTTATGACCTTAGGAACTATGATTATTCCCATTTTACAGATCAGGGAGTTGAGACCCATGGAGTGCAAGTAACTTGCCCAGCACAACTCAGGAGGTAACTCAGGCTATATGGCACTGGAACTCATACTTTTAATTCATTCCCTTGAATTAGTATGACTTTCACTTACAGACTCAGCTCAAATAATTAAACAATTTCAATATCACAGGTTACCAGCTGTTTTGTGCAACTGAGATGAGAATAGCCCATTTCTGCCTTTTCATCTGTTTGCCTTCCTTGGGAAATCCTCCAAATCATTTGCAGGTCATCAGTGTCCCTTAATGAGGACCTGGTTTTCTGTTGGCAATAAGCATCCATACATTCTTCTGCTCTTGTGTGTACCTCTGGCCTGAGGAGTTGTTTCCCTGAAGATCCCTGTGGATCTCCTCATTAGGAATGGCCCAGCCAACCCTAAAGTGAGAGTTTGTCAGAGATCAGAGATGTGATGCCTCCCCAGTGAGTCACACCCCCCTCTCCCTCTGAGCTCCTCTTGTCCACATCTGCCTGCTCATCATCAACCCTGTTTCTCCACCTGAGTCACCAGGAGTGACTCAGCTCTGTTGTCCTTTCAGGTGACTCAAAAATGGGTGGCTGTCTTCTTCCAATAGAACGGTTTGGCCACCTTGAATCTTCTTTAATTCACTTCCATGAAGTGCTGAGGTACTTTTTACAAACCAATAACACACATATACAGCAAACATGTCCTTCCTTATAATTGTCATGGATTATCCATGCACTCACCACACGCTTTCAGCCCAGGCAGATCTGTGTACGTGTTTCTTTCTTTTTTTTTTTTAAAGATTTTATTTATTTATTTGACAGAGAGAGAGCACAAGTAGGCAGAGTGGCAGGCAGATGGAGAGGGAGAAACAGGCTCTCTCCTGAGCAGGGAGCTGGATGTGGGGCTCGATCCCAAGACCCCAGGATCATGACCTGAGCCAAAGGCAGCCGCTTAGCGGACTGAGCCACCCAGGCGCCCCTGTGTACATGTTTCTATTTCTCTAAGTGTAGCAGCAGGTTCTGGGCACCAGAGAGATCTCTACCACTAGAATAGGGCAGGACAGAACTCACCTTGGAATGGTTGAGGATAGCCCTCTTCATTCTGAGGACAGGGCAGAATTAACCCTGTTGTACTATGAGGGCTTAAAAAATTAGTAGTTCAACTCTGAAAGTAGCAGACATTAGATGTAATGCCGAGCAGTTCTCCTGGAGTGAAGTGTTCGGGGGATGGCTGTGTAGGTGAGCTGTCTAAGTGAACATATCGATAGGGGCTATATCAATAGTTGGTATTCAGATCCAGTATAGAGAGACAGTCTGTGATACTAGAGATTGTCTTTTTTTAAAAGATTTATTTATTTTTAGAGAGAGAGAAGGAGAGAGAGAAAGAGTGGGGGGGGCAGAGGGAGAGAGAGAATCTTAAGCAGACTCCACACCCAGCATGGAGCCCGATGCGGAGCTCGATCTCACGACCTTGAGATCATGACTTGAGCGGAAACCAAGAGTCCAATGCTCAACTGACTGTGCCACCCAGGTGCCCCTTAGAGATTATCTTTTTCTAAAGCATTGTTGGTACCCATAGGAGCAACTGTAGCAGAGGATTTTGTCTTTACCCCTAAGATCTAGGTCCAAAGTGTGAATGGCCGTCTGGGCATGTAGAATGTTTTTCTTCCCACCATCTTCCATCCTGAGACTCATTCTGGATTACCTTGTGTTCTGCCAAAGTGGCTTCACTACTGTTATGTAGCCTGGTTCTACCACAGCCCAAATTTCCACAATGTCACACCAGCAAACTTCCATCATTGGGACCCTGGCCATCTTGGCTGGGTGGTCCTCCATTGAGCATAGCACTGGGGTGTGGGTAGTCTACCATAAACAGATTGGCTTGTATAGAGAACTATGCTCTTCTGCTGGCTGTGACTTTTATCAGGATTGGGGCTTGTGTATAACTTTCTAAACTTTAAGACATGATTTGCTAAGACTAATTTCTAATCAGAAGCAGAGACTATCTGCCATAATTTCACAATTCAAGAGAGGTCTGGGATGGACTGGTCTCTCTTTTCCAGACCCTTTGAAGCATAAGGAGAATCTCTGGGGGTAGGAGACTAGAGGATGATAGGCTTGACTTCCAGATAATCTGTTATTGCCTCAGGCCCTAGTAATGGCATTTTGGGAGTATATAAGGAGAAGCTAGTACGAACAGACACCCCAGATATCATATGTTTACAGCCACACATATGTATGTGGCTGTGTATGTATTTATGCATAAGGTGGGGGAGGGAAGGAGAATGTGTACCTTGGCTATTAATATATATCACTGGGAAAATAATACTAGATGAAGTTAAAAAGTGTATATATGATTTCTTTTCTATAAATACAGGATGGCTATCTGTCCTGCAGATAAATTCAAACTACTAGTTAAACTATAACTCATAAATCATCTTGTATAGACATATCAGTATCATGATTTAGTAAAAAAACGAAAAGTAGAGCTAAATTGTAGACATACCAAGCAGTTATAAGGATTTTACATGTCTTTGTCCTCACGTTCTTCCAAATTACTAAATACAGAACACCACCAACCATCCTGACATGTTGGTACCAAAGTGAAAGCCTTAAAACTGGGCAAGTTCTGAGCAAACCAGAACAAGTTGGTCACCCTACTGGTAACCAGCTCTTCCTGAAAGAGGTGATCAGGGTTCCTGGGCTTCTTTCACGTTATGGCTTCTGTATCTTCATCACTTGACTGCCAAGGTTGCCCTGAGTGCTATCTCCATTCCCATCCAGCCAGAAAAGGGAAAGAACATGAAAGATGCCATGGGAGCTTTGTGAGCCATTTCCGGAAATGGCATACCTATCTTCTGCTCTCATCCCATTGGCAAGACTCAGTCATGCGG